CCCGTGGATGAGCAGACTTCAGCCTCTGTGGTTGCTCTCAAGTACTATGCTCGGGGCCAAAATATGTTAAAATAGGTGATGTCTGTTAGATTTTTTGCAGAGAATGTTGAAAGTTTTATTTTCTGTATTCAAGCAGGTTTCTAAATAGAAGTAGATACCAGTCATACCGTATTTAAAAAAACAACTACTTCTTTGCTCTACAAGTTCATCTTGGTAATGAAACTGCGTTTTATTTTAACCATGGCCTCTGTAAAAATGAGACATGTTGTGGGCTCTTTTGGGTTCCTGCCACTGCAGAAGATCTTAATCTTCTTTTTCTTAGTCTGTCTTTTTCTGTTTATTTTCTGAGGCATTGCTGAAGCACTCCACACTGTAGATTGCAGGGGAAGTGTGAGATAAACTAAGCACAGCTGCATGATGTTTACTCTGCCCTGGTCCAATTACAAATAGCAGATTTATTTAGTTTCAGTGACTTTTCTTACTAAAGAGAGCTGAAAAGTACAATATACCCTTCCTAAGGGGAACGTGGTTAACTCAAAACACAATTAGTATGGTGGCATAATAGATACTGAAATTTACATGACAGTGCCTGAAATTTAGTCTTTATAATGAATAGTGCATGGCTTCTGATGAGACCTAGAACCAACAAGTGTGGCATCTACTTTAATTAATTTTTATCTTGTCCTCTGAGAAATTTGATTCCATGTTGTGTATGAGACATTCCCTGCTGCTTTCCTCACACTATTCTGCTGAGGCAGTGTCCCGGTCATTCCCTGAACATCACTTTAGCAAAGATTGCCAAACAGAATAGGTCAGTTGTTGGTCTGTCTTATTTGTATTCTTTGTGCATTTTCACTCTGTCCCTAATTGCAATGACTGAAACAAAAGCATGAACTACATTTCTTAGAGGTAAAACAAATGCTTTAATCTACTCCACAACTAAATCTCAAATGTCAAACTTTATTTCTTTTTAAAGAGTAGGGCATAGGGATGTTAGTAATGACATTTTCATTGCTGGGAGTATCTTAAATTTGGAAAAGCAGAAGGATATCTTCTCACCTTTTTCTTTTTTTTTTTTCCTTTCTGAGGCAGCAAGACTGTACTTCATATGTTTAATGTCTTCAGTGCAGTTGTTATAAAGCTTGTCAATACTATAAAATAGACTAATTTAGCACCAAGTTGGTTTGAGTTTTGATAGACAAAAATACAAAAATAACTCTGCAAAATTAGCCTTTCTCCTTTAAGACCCTAAGTTCGTGTTTACAGAAAAAAAGTTTGTTTGCTTCATTTGGATGTGACACAGTAGGAAAATTGACCTCACAAGACTGACCTTATTTACTCCTGAAGACATATAATGGATGTAATTATTTGACAGCTCTCATTACCACTTTTTTTTTCCTCTCTAAAACCACATGCAATCTCATTTTAGTACATTCTGTTTGGTCATTCTTCAGCTTGTCTGCATAGTGAGTTGTTACATCTGTGTGAAACGGGGAAAATAAAGATAATATTTAACTTTTTATCTTTATTTGAAGTGACAATCCATACTACAGAGGGTAGGCTTCAGTTGCAGAGATAGCCAGGAGATTAGGGCTGCCGCTCATGTTCAAACTACCAAATAGCTGCTGTGATTTAAGACATTGCATTAGCAATATTCAGCTAACATTTTGGACTCAGCTGGAACCAAAAGGGGGGTCATGTGATAAACCTTTGCAGCTTCGTCTGCTCAATCACCACTCAACCCAGAATTCTGAGAGTGAAGGATATTATTCCCTTATTTTTTTTTCCAAAATCTAGGTCTGATTTGGGAATAAAAATGTATGCTTTAGTGAGTGCAAAGGTGAAAGTTGTCTAATCTGGCCCTCAGTCATCATCATGGTGCCTATTTTTAACAGAAAAAACATTGCATCGAGTTTCCGTTTCCTACTTTTAGGAGACCGAA